TTGAAGGAAAAGATAGCAATATTACAGGAGGTGCAAGAATTGAAGAAAAAGATAGCAACATTAGAGGCGTCTAAGGTTGGAGAGGAAGGTAGGTATCATGAATATCACCAAAAATCTATTACTTGCTTCATTTATTAAGGATGTTCGTTATATCATTATGTTGGCTAATGTGCTGTTTTTATTTTAAGTTCCCATATATTTCCAATACCTTAATTCAGATGTTGCTTATTTTACTTCCAATAGTTTAAATAGTGTTAGTAAGTTATATACAGATTTGAATATTGTTTTCGGTCTCAAGGGTGCATTATTAGATCATGTTTTTTCTATTGGAGATAAATACATAAATATTGGCTGGTCAAAAGATGCCTTGATCGATTACATTAAAAAACAAAAATGTTCAGCTAATAATCCAATTAGAATATCATACAAAAATACAGGTATAATATCTTATTTTCTGCTGATTGTAAATAAACTGAACTAATGCAATATTATTTTATAGTTAAAAGATTGTACCTGGATATGTTAGGTGAATTACCAGCACCATTAAAGCTTGGAGAACCTGAGGAATGGTACAAACGACAAAAATATAACCCAGTAGATGCTATTTGTCTTAATCACTATCTAGCAACAGCTTCTAGCTCCACACCTGTTAGTTTACTTTGCTCAATTTTTGGCAAGTTTAAAGACTTATGTAATGAAGCTTCAGAAAGTGAAGATAATCTTTTCGCCCTTAAATTTTGTTTTGAAATGTCAGAATGTTATAATTCTGAATCGGAACGTCAGGCTATAGCAAATAGAATGTTATCTAAATATCTCAACCATTTTGTACAACCAATTGTGTTATCTGAAAAAGGTTACCGTACTGACGGCACTGAAATAGAATGTTATCTAAATATCTCAACCATTCTGTACAACCAATTGTATTATCTGAAAAAGGTTACCGTACTGACGGCACTGTATCTTATGGTCCCAATGCATATCGTGAGCTTAATGTAGAATATAGAAAGTATAACTGTAGCTCTGATGCTTGTCCTTATCTTGAAAATTGTGGATATTTTTTAGCTTTCTGCAAGGAAATGGAAAATCATCCTGCCTACAGTGTGACTAATTTTCCATGCTTTTTAGTTGTAATATCTGGTATAGTAGCAAATTTAATTTGATATGTTTTTTTCTGAATTTGTGACTAACATTGATTTATTTTAGGGCCTTACTTTTCTATTTCTGGTGCTGTGTTTGCAAATGTTGCTATAGTAGACCCGCTTACTGTAGTCTTTCCCCTTATTTGGCAAAAATATGATGTAACAATGATGATATCAATTTCCAGAACATTTCGTGCTTTAAAAATCTCTCTCCAACTTCTCGATCAATATTATGCTAATGTTGATAAATTAATTCAAGACGTACCTCAAGCTGCCCATCCCGTGCATCCTTCATTTCCAAAAGTAATTATAGATGATAAATCTTACGTGGTTCAAATTAATTGCCAACTCAGCACATTTCTTCTTTGGGATATTACACTTGTAAATGAACAAGGACCTCTTTTTACAAGCTGCGTGAAAGCTGTTCAAAAGCATCAATATTCACTTGATACACATCAACTCTTAGCCGAAGTTGGATATGCCCCAAAGGTCCTTGCTACTTCATTCCTTCCTGGAAATTGGCTTTTGATTTATATGGAATGTCTGAGCGATCATTCAATGTTACATAATATCTCTTACCTTGACGATTCAGAACGAAATTCTTTAAAAAAGAAAATAAAAGAAGTTGTCGAGTATTTGCATAATTTAGGACACGTCCATGGAGACTTGCGTGAAGAAAATATACTAGTTAGACAACTTGAAGATAATGAATTTGATGTGAAGTTAATCGATTTTGATTGGTCTGGAAAGGTTGGTTCTGCACGTTATTCTCCCTTTATGAATCATGAAGATATTCAATGGCCAGATGGAGCAGAAGATTTTAAACCAGTTACAAAAAACCATGACCTTTTTATGTTAGAGCAGACTTTTCGGAAAAAAAATTTGTTATAGGATGGGATAGAATGCATTTTGATTTAGTAAGAGTAATGGATCAAAAAAGTTTAGTGTAGAAGAATATTACAGCCCAATATTTGTTATTCTTAGCATGTATTGCAATACTAAACTTAATATTATAGGCTTGACATTTGATTTCCTAATAAATAAAGCCCTAGTTGTTTCTTTTGCATATATATTGACTGAATTTACTTTATTTTATTGTTATCAATGTATATTAACTTGTATATAAAAAGATATGAAAATTTATTTTAGAGGACCCTTAACCTGGACCCCTCAATATATTAAATTTGATTGGTCAAATAATTTGACCTCGCTATATTTATATATAATAGCATGATAAAATAGCTAGTCAACTAAATATTAATATGACAAAAAATATAACAAGTCTGTGCTTAAATAATATTGTTATTATCGTTACATTTATTAATCGAATTAATGCTAATGAGTTATTACAATAAAATATTGCTTATTTATTAAAATTACTCAATTAATAAATAGTTATTACCATATTTGCGCATAATAGCGGGCCAGGGTGTTAATTCGAATTTCAACTTTATAAAAAATTTACTATTTGACTTAAAATATCGCCCATGCGCATCTCGAAATAACGCCCACCCATTTTTTATATAATATAATGGTTAAATTTTAATAAAGTTTCGAACTGCAAATACTAAATTCGAAAAGCATAGGTATGAATGGTTATGTGATTATAATAATGCCGGCAAGCCAAAGGTGCCAGAAATAAATTCAATTAAAGGACTTTAAGTTCGCAGAATACATTGTGAGTAATTTGAGCTGAATGATTTGAGCTGAGTAATTTGAACTGAAACGATGATATGCTCCTGGGAAAATTAGCAAGTGAGGTTGTGCCGGGTATCATCATAATAGTAGAATGAGTGAGAAGCAGCATCAGTCGGTGGTTTTCCACCTGCTCGAAACAGGCCGGCTGTTAAATAGAAAAATGGCAGAATCAGGACACTACAATATGTGGTGGGAAGGGTTGGGTTGAGAAAAAAGAGACAGTTGTAATGCTTGGTTTGTTGAAATGAGAACAAGTATCGCAAATTAGTTATTTGTCGATTCTTTAAATACTGATTGTAGTCAACTTTATTCGCATGAAATTTCTGAAGTCTGATGTCTCTTCGATTCCGACTCATGTTATCAGGCAGGGTTGTAGACACGGCATGTAACTCCTGACCATTCTCCAAAAAAATTACATTTTTATTCGAAATAAAGCGCATGCGTGTTTCAAATAGCGTGCAGGGGTCCAAAATAAAGCGCAGGAGGCATTATTACATGCAAATACGGTACTAATTAAACCAATGCTATAAAAATAATAAAATTCTATTTGCTTATTTCACTATATTAATTAACAAAAGTTGTTATAATGAATTAAATTAAACAAATTATATAGAGGAAATTGTGAGAAAAGAAGCAAAGCCATAATTTAATGGCTTATTTTAAATAATTTGTTTAATATTAAATATTAATAAAGGTTGTTATACATATGAGCAAATTAATGCTAGCTTAAATAATTGATCTTAAAATAATTATAATATTGATAAAATTTACTATTGAATGGCATGATTCGAATGCCATCAGGCTTTTATTTGAACTGCCATTTAACACAATTACATAATTTCACAGACACGCATGTCCGTGAAGTGTTGAATGGCAGTTCAGGTAGCAGTATGACTGGCATTCGAAATATGCTATTCAACATGAAAATTAGTTATAAGTAATTTAAATAAATCAAATTCGATTAACTTAATACGGATGAAATAGAATATAATAAATGCTATAAGTTTAATTCGATTATTTTAAATAAATAAATTAATAAATAATTATCATATGGTTTAATAAAGTAATACGAATAAAACTAATTAAAAGCTTACCTTTAATAAATAATTTAGTAAAAAAAACTTTTAACTTAAATTAATTTATAAGTAATTATTATAATTATCGATTAACTTAATATAACCTACAAACTTATTAAACATATAAATATAAATTAATGCTATATATATACATATATATCAATAGTTTAAGTAAATTATTAAATATTTTAACTTACTTCTAAGATATCTATTAAATTGTTGTTCTAAATATTTTAAGCTCCACTTTATATGGTCGTGCACGTGACTGTGTATATTCATATCTATATCCACTTAAATATCGTTTCCATCTAACCAAGTAGCTAAAAATTTATCACCAAAGTTTTGAATATTAACTAATCTATTAAAAGGAATCCATTGGCTTTATTTAAAATTTTTTAATGCAATTATCGATAACCTTATTTCCACTTGTCCATTCTTTTATTATTATCTGAGGGTCACATGTTTGACACCAACCATCAGATGTGTTATATCGGTTGCAATTTGCACATGTTCCATGCTCATAAAATCTTTTAGAACCAAATTCATCAAATACTAACATATACTCATTTGTTGCCTTTTTTGAGTTAGACCGTACACTTTAAGATCACTATTCTTTGACAGTAAGGATACTAAAAACTTATTAAACATGTAAATGCATATGAAATAAAACTATATATTGTATATTGTGCAATATCGATATTTTAAATATTTTTACTTTTTTTAACTTATCTATTAATTTGTGTGAATTAGTTAATGCTTAAGCTCCACTTTATATGTTGGTATACGTGACTGTGTCCATCCACCTTTAAAATTTGTATATCGTATTTCATCTAACCAAGTTGCTAAAAATCTATCACCAATATTTTGAATATTAACTAATCTATTAAAAGGAATCTATTCTATGATGTCTTCGTATTTCGTAGCTTTAAGTTGAAATTCTTTAATACAATAATCGATATCCTTATTTCCACTTGTCTATCCTTGCGTTGTCTTCCAAGGGTCACATGTTTGACACCAACCTCTAGATGTGTTATATCGATCGCAATTTGCACAATTTCCATTCCAATAAGATCTTTTAGAACCAAATTCATCAAATACTAACATATATTCGTTTGTGGACGTATTTTGAGTTAATCCATAGACATAATTACTCTCTAATTGCAAATGATTTTTAAACTTATAAAATATATAATAAATTAAGTATACATACTATTAATTAAATTAACTACACATAATAAAACGATATAAACTCACTTCTAAAATATTTGATGACCTAGTCAATGTTTTAAGCTCCACTTTATATGATGGTATACGTGACTGCGTACATCTACTAAGATTATAATCTACATATTCATATTTTAAATATCATATTCCATCTAACCAAGTTGCTAAAAATTTATCACCAAGGTTTGAATATTAACTAATCTCTTAAAAGAAATCCATTCGATTACATTCCTATTTTCTGGTGTGTCAAGTTGAAATTCTTTAATACAATCATCGACATCCTTATTTCCACTTGTCCAGCCTTGCGTTGTCTTCCAAGGATCACATGTTTGACACCAAGCGTGAGATGTATTATATCGATTGCAATTTGTACATATTCCATTATACACAGATCTTTTAGAGCTAAATAATTTCATGATATAATGAGTTACGGAGAAATCAAGCGTTTATAACACACATATATATGCATATATATGCATGTAGCACGTACTTTGTAACACAATATTTTTTATATCTGCATATAGCGACAGCAATAGAAATAATAGTTTACCTGATGTTATAAAACGTATTCTTTCATGAATAATTAATTTAAAGGTGGAAACTTATTCATAAATCTAATAACTACGTAGTAGTATGCAGTGTTCAATAGAATCTCGTCAAAATATTTATAATGTTATAAACGGATTAAAAGCTCAAATGTTCATGCGCATTACAATATGAATTAATTCCAAAATAGATTGGTGTGTTGTTTCTTTAAACATTTTATGAAATAGAGTTATATTTACTATAGTAAACATAGATCCATCGCTTTCAGAAAAATCCTTAAATGGCATATTTGTTGTCACGGTTGAAGCTGGAAATTTTTAAATATTTTAATACAAAATTTTCATAATTTTTTTGGATATATATATATTTTTTTATGGTTAGGTTAGAATTTATAGCATAAATAGATTTTGGTAGGGTTAATTGAGGTTCCTAATTTCTAGCTCAACCACGCACAATTATTACTATTTATCTGCAATTGTATTCATCTTGTCAATAGATTTTAAGTGTACTATGGCGTATGAAATGCGCATTACTTACAAGAGATCCTTTGAATAGTGATGGGCAACTTGAATAGAGGTAAACAATCTGCGGGTTTCTCACATAAGATACCGGATATGAAATGGTAGAATCTTTTGCAGTATAGATGCCTACTTTAATAAAATGTTAATTGGTTATAAAGTTGGATCATCTATGCCTAGGGACTATACCTAGGGATGGGTATATGCAGGCTAGGTAGCAAATTACTACGCAAGCTAGCAGTCTACGTAGAATTTTTAGGAACTACGTGGCATTTTTAATAAGTTTTAGCATAGTTTTAAATTTTTATCAGTATTAAAAAATAAAT